TTATTCTCGTCGTGGAGGGGGTGCAAGTAAGACTGAGTTGGTACGAGAAGACTTGGAGGGGGAAGGAGAGAAGAAGAGACCTTTGCTTGGAAATAATTTATGGGAGGCAGGACCATCAAAGAGACATTGCGGTACTGATGATGTGGATGCAGCGAGGGAGATGAAAAGGGAGTTAGTACCAGAGGGGCTTGATCTAAGTGAACATTTGTCGGCGAGTGTTCATTGGTCGTCGTATGGAGTCAACCCTGAATACCCGACAGAAGTAGCAGGCCAATATGTGAATCCAGATGATTACTTTGATGTCGAATTAAGTGGTGGTCACGATTCTGTCTCAGTAGAAGTCAATAGAGATGATGTTGACGAGGAGGCAAGTGTTGAGCAATATGATGTTGAATTTGCTGAAGACTCTGATGATGACCGTCCATTTCCTCCACTTACTAATAATGCCAAGTTAGCATTAGAGGAATGTTGTGCGTTTGAGAAGGTGTTTGGGAGGAAGCCGGACATTCCTGAGTTTAGGGACCTAACACATGCCCATGGTGCACTACTAGATGGCGGCATCAACCTAGATCAGTTGTCAGAACCATTTCAGGTGGATGGTCTCAGAAAGGGTTTAGAGTTCCCATCCATGGTCGCAATGAAGCTATGGCTCCAGGAGTACGCCATCGTGCACCATCGTCCATACCGTGTTGTCAATTCTGCCGCAAATAGGAGGTACACTGTTAAATGTGAAAACCCACGGTGCAAATAGAAGGTCCATGCAACTAAGAGGTCTAGTGGCACGTGGAGGATATCACGGGTAGGTAAGGAACATAGTTGTGCTACTGCCGAAGGTTCAGGGAGCCACCGGCAGCTGACATCAAAGTTCATAGCAAATAGGTTATGCAATGCCATAAAACTGCAACCTACACTCTCTGCTTCTGTGTTAGCTTTGTATATATTTGAGGTTTTCCAGTATAGGGTGAAGTATGGCAAGGCTTGGAGGGCACGAGAGGAGGCTATGAAGCTCATTTACGGTGAATGGGGTGAAGCGTATGTCCGTTTGCCCACTTTGCTGCAAGCCATTAAGCAGAGGAATCCCAGTATGGTCTACCACATCGATACTCATCCTGATAGGGTTGTCAACATTGATGGAGTGACCAAGAAAATTTTTATGCGTGCATTCTGGTGCTTTGGTCCTTCATTGAGGTTTTTAAGCATTGTAGGCCAATACTAGCTATAGATGCAACCTTCCTAACTGGGAAATACGGTGGTGCCTTGATGACTGCATTATCAGCTGATGCGGAGGACCAACTTGTACCTTTAGCTTTTGCCTTGGTGGAGAAAGAGAATTCACGAGACTGGTGCTGGTTTATCGATCTTGTCCGACGGGTTGTGGTTGGGCCGCATAGGGAGGTTTGTATTATCTCAGATCGACATGCTGGTATAATGAATGCCATGACGACTCCTGTTCCAGGATTGCCACCGGTTCACCACCGGTGGTGCATGAGGGACTTCAGTGCTAATTTCCACAAGGCCGGTGCGGACAAGCATCAGACAAAAGAGCTCCTAAGAATATGTCAGATTGACGAGAAGTGGATATTTGAGAGGGATGTTGAGGCACTAAGGCAGCGTATTCCCGAAGGTCCTCGTAAATGGTTTGAAGATAAGTTGTTGGATAAAGATAAGTGGTCTCGTGCATACGATAGAAATGGCCGCCGGTGGGGTTACATGACAACCAACATGGCCGAACAGTTCAATAGCGTGCTAGTTGGTGTTCATAAGCTTCCAGTGATGGCCATAGTATCATTTACGTTCATGAAGTGCAATGACTACTTTGTGAACAAACATGATGAAGCTTTGAAGCAAGTCCAGTTAGGGCAGCGTTGGTCCACCAAGGTTGATAGTAAGATGAAGGTGCAAAAAAGTAAGGCGAACAAACACACTGCAAGGTGTTTCGATAAGCAGAAAAAGACATACGAGGTCACAGAGAGGGGTGGTATAACGCGTGGTGGTGTTAGATTCAGCGCAAGAGCCTTCAAAGTTGAAGGTGAGGGGAACTCATGTTCTTGCCAAAGGCCATTGCTCTACCATATGCCTTGCTCACATCTTATACACGTTTATCTGATTCATACAATTGATGAGGAATCTCCCAACCGAATGCCATATCAGTTCTCTTCAAGAGCCGTTGTGTCACGCCCAAAAATTTAGCCCAAATTTCCAGACTATTTTGTGTATTAAATCCCTGTCCAGGACCAGCCAGGGTACACAAAACGACAAGTAATATATAGTTCCAAACGTAAATAAAGCGTAAAATACTTACAGAAGAGGCACTTAGTCCTTATACCGAAACAAACGCAGCAGCAGCGGAAAAAGACGATCCTAGCGGGGCTTCAGCTCCACTCCACAGGCAAAACTCAACTGGGGTCTGAGTTTTGGTCTTCTAACTTCGTCTTCAGCTCAGAAGCACTACACTTCTGAAAAGGGGAAATAATAGCAAGGCTGAGTACAACCACCATACTCAGCAAGCCACACCAATGATGCAGACGTGCAAGGGGATACAAGGACGGTTTGTGGCTATTTGCATAAAGGCGGTTGTAAAACATTTTATTGAGCAAAGCAGTAAAACTATTGAGTAATTAAAGTAGCATTAAATATCCACTGATCAACGCTACACCACGTTGAACAGGCTCAACCAACCCACCTGAACTACAGTGCATTGGGTCGATTTATTAGGGTGGGACTAATCACGGTGAATCTGGTGAACCGCCCATAACCGCGGGTACGGCTATTCGAATAGTTTTACTCTGATCAGAGGTGTACAACTGTACCCACAAGACACAGCCTCACGACACGTTACCGTGCGCCGACATGCCACCACGACATACCGGAAAGAGGCCGTGACAGGACCCTTCGCATAACCCCCTCTAGCCAAGCACACCACACCTCAGGTTTCACCCCTGTCCCCAGCGGGCAACGGGCAGTCCCCTCTCGTGCCTAGGTGAATCCGGAAGCGACAGAGGCCGTCGCAGGGCCCGCCCCGCTACATCACGCCCACCCTTGCCTGGATGCGTCAGCTAGAGGAAAGCTACACTACAAGCCCAGCCGTTGCCCACGCTGGCTTGTGGAAAGTACGAGGAATTCTTCCAGGGTTTCCCGCGAACCGGTCCTTAACTGCCATGGGCGCGACCATCAAAACCATGCACCCACAACCCACCATTCAGTCGCATTTTAGTTGGATAATTACGACCATGAAACATGGCCAGATGTCTTGAGCACGCAGCTCATTCTGATACTAAAAAGGTCTAATACTGTAATTATCCCATCAACTGAGCTAGTGGTAATTAAGCATGGCTAAGCATAAAGTTCTAGCTAGGTCACATAAGTAACATGAGCTAGTCGATTTATTACCCAAGGTTGACAAAGAACAGATATCAAGTAAACATAGCACAAGCGAGCAGATAGGTAATACCCGGATCCCATGTAATTAGCAAGACATGCAATTTTATTTGCAAACGATAAAACATTTGTAAATTAGGATCAAAATGCACAAGGGGAATGTGTGACTTGCCTTGCTTCTTCGAAACAATCTTCCAGACTCTTTTCCTCGCGACCGCGGACTTCCGAAACGACGGATTCTACACGCTGGCACGCAAAACGAGGAAAAACTTTAATAAAAACCAAGGAAACAGTACATAAAAAGTAAACAAACATGTAGAGCTCAATTTTAGATGAATTTTGCAAGTTGAATGGCTCAATTCGGAGTTCGAATGAATTAGATATGAATTTTAGAAGTTTTGAGCCATTTATATGAATTTCTAGAATTATTACGAATTATTGCGCAATTATTAAATATTTTTACAAAGGAAAAAGGCTGCCGCTGACGTCATCAAGTGAGGCCGGCGCCGATAGGCGGGCCCCACACGTCAGCGAGACGAGGAGGCGGTCCACCGTGGACCGGGACCACAAGGACGGTCCACCGCCGGTCCACGGGTTGGATGGCCCAGGTCGGCCAAGCCGATCGGGCGGCTGAGGAGAGCGATGGCCGAGCACGGGCACAGCCGGGGCTGGCCCGATCGACCACAGAGGGCGGCGGCGCGCAGCGTGGGAAGCGGCAAGAGGAAGCGGAGGCAGAGAGGGAGAGGGAGGTGGCGGAGCTCATCGAGGGGCACGGCGACGGCGAGAGCAGCCGGCGGAGGGAGGCGGCGGTGCTCCTCGGGTCGACAACACGGAGGGGCTCCCGGCGGTGGAAGGTGTCGGTCGAGCGGCGGCCGGGGAAGAGCGTGACGCGGCGAGGGAGGCGATGCGGCTGGCGCGTCGCGGCGGCAGCCGGGGTGATGGCGAATGGCGACCGGAGGCGGAAAAAGGTGGCCGGTAGGGTGGCGTGGTGGGGAGGTGGTTCTGGTGGTGGAAGGGAAAAAGGGATGGGCGGCCGGGCTTGCCCTCGCGGTGGTGGATCTAACAGAGGCAGTGGCGCGGCTTGAGGTGGTTGAGGATGGCGGCTAGAGGCAGCCATAGGCGGTAGGCGGTGGTAAAGCTCGGGTCGACGGTGGAAATGGCGCTGCGGGGGTGGAAGGGAGAACGGAGTGGATGCCGGGGTGGAGCTCGGCACGGCGATGCCGATGGTGCGAATGGCGAGGTGCGGCGACGACGAGAGCGACGATGGTGGGCGGCTGAAGTCGGCGGCGGAGGGGGAGAGAGGTGGTGCACGAGGCGGCGGTGTTCCGGAGGCGGAGAGGGGAAATGGAGTAGAGGCCGGGCTGCGGCACGGCGACGCGAAGCCGACGGTGGTGGCGGATTGGCGCGGCGGTGGGTGGAGCAGCGGTGGCGCGCGGCTGGAGATCGCCGGCGAGCGGCGGCGATGGGGATCGGTGTGGAGAGCACGGTAGAGGGCGGGGGGACTCGGGAAAATGGGGAAAAAGGAAGAGGAGGCCACGGGGATTGATTTTATAGCTCAAGGGGACGAGGAGAGGGCCGGGGAGCGGCGGATTTCGAGGGGGAGTGGGGCGGCGTTGGCGGGGAAGTGGGGCGCCGACGTGGGGTGGTGGCGGCTCGGCCAGCACTGGTTTTTGTGGGACGAGTGGGGGAAATGGTGGAAGACGTGGAGGTGATCGTGCCCACGTCGTTGGATGCGAGCTCTGGTGCGGGTGGGCGCCGGATTTTGCGGCGACGTGGGCGGCAATGGCAGTTGGGGTTGGCCGGCGAGAGGTAGGAGGAGGAGCTGACGGGTGGGGCCCACGGTCCCACCTGTCGGCCGGATGGAGAGAGAGGAGGGAAACCAGGGGACGTAAAGTAGACTTTCACAAGGCGCGGGCCGGCCGAGAGAGGGAGGAGGCGCGCGGCCCACGGGAGAGGAGGGGAAGGCTTGGGCCAAGCCCAAAAGGGAGGGGAGGGGATTTTATTTGTTTTCTTTTTTTATTTAAATTGAGTTAAATGATCTTTGTGACTTTAAAAATACTTCTTGAGCTCCGAAAACTCACGGAAAATTCTGGAGAGTATGTTAGGGCGCAAAGAATATTACAAAATATTCCCGGCCAATAATTTTTAAAGGAAAATTTAATTTCCTCCATATTTTCACTTGATTAAATTGATTTAAATTTTATTTAATTTCTAGAAAATGCATTATTTAATGATTTTTAATCCCGAACGAAAATCGGGGCGTTACACGTTGTGAACACATGGGCAAGTCGCTTTGAGCCATACCTCGACCCCACACAGTGGCCACCGTACGATGGTGAAGAATTTGTTGCTGACCCAAATTTGAAGATTAAAACAAGAGGGAAGAGGAGATCGAAACGATTCAAGAATGAAATGGACTCGGGTCTGGGTGGTTCTGGAAGGAAACCACCTTCATGCGTTCAACTTGATGCTGCGCCGGTGCAAAATAGATGCTCGTTGTGTCACCAGGAGGGTCACAAGAAAACTAAGTGTCCTAAGCGTCCAAAAAAGAAGAAGTCCAAAAAAAATATAAGTGTTAGGGAGGTAAATATTTTGTTTTCCTACTCATGTTCTCGCATTCATTTTCTTTTAATGTATGTCACATTGGTAACTAACGGTGAATTTATTACTTTTTCATGTAGGATGGCCGAGGAGGGACAACCGCCGACTTACCCAGCCTTGGAGGCGTACTATGAGGCCCGTCATCGCGAGGCTGCGATCGAGGCGGGGAGGGTATGAATCGGCATTGATTCACTTGTGCATATGTATCGGTAGCGTGTATTTGACATTATATTAACTAATTGATTTACAATTGCTAATGCAGGTACTTCAACCGCTCTGAGTCAGAGCTCATGCCCCTCCAGTGTTCGACGATAGGTACATCCCGTACCTAAGGGCGGCCGGGTTGCTCGGGGTGGCCTTGGTCGTGAGCAGAGGAATGCCAGTGTTCAACGCTCCTGCGTTGACAGCACTTGTGGACAGATGGAGGCCTGAGACACACAGCTTCCACCTCCCCAGTGGTGAGATGACCATCACTCTACAGGATGTGGCTATGATCTTGGCCCTCCCATTACGGGGGCATGCCGTGACGGGCAGGACAGAGACTCCTGGATGGCGTGCACAAGTGGAGCAGCTGTTTGGCATTCCACTGAACATTGAGCAGGGGCAAGGGGGGAAGAAGAAGCAGAATGGAATACCCCTGTCTTGGCTGAGTCAGAACTTCTCACATCTTGACGACGACGCTGAGCCATGGCGTGTTGAGTGTTATGCCCGTGCATACATCTTGCACTTGTTGGGAGGGGTTCTGTTTCCTGATGCTGGGGGTGACATTGCTTCGGCGATATGGATTCCTTTGGTCGCCAACCTTGGTGATCTAGGCCGTTTCCGTTGGGGCTCAACAGTGTTGGCGTGGACATATAGAGAGCTCTGTGAGGCCTGTTGTCGTCAGGCACCATCATCCAACATGAGTGGTTGTGTGCTATTGATTCAGCTGTGGATGTGGTTAAGACTACCGGTTGGAAGGCCTAAGTGGAGGCAAAGCTTCACTCCTTGGCCCTACAATGAGCCAGATATGGAGAAGACAGTGGCCTACCTTTTTGAGAGTACTGCCACTGCACATGCTCACCGGGATGTGGCATATAAGCATTATGTCAATGAGATGGACTGCTTACAGCCTCAACATGTAAGTACTTCCAATATCACTTCTAGTTAGACATTTACTTCTTTAATTGAGATACTAACCAACGACATCTCTTCAACTTTTGCAGATTGAGTGGTTACCATACCACACAAATGAGGCTTCAAGCCTGACCCTGAACTCGATGTGCAATCGAAACTCTGACTATTTCATGTACCAGTGCCCATTGATTTGTTTCTGGGCAGTTGAGTACCACCTTCCGCACCGTGTCATGCGACAGTTCGGGAAGAAACAAGATTGGCCGGTAGAGGACATCTCAACTGGAGTTGAATTACCCAAGTAAATATTTCTTATCTTTGTTTGCTTTCATTGTCAATGTTCAATTTTGTACCATTTAACCCTTGTCGATGCTCACTATTGTTTCATCACCTTCTACTTGTCTAGGTATGACAGGGTGAGAACAAAGAAGGTGAAAGACTGGGGGCTAGAGCATAATAGATACATTGATGAATGGAGGACAGCCGGAAGGAATGACAGGTACATCGAGACTATACACCAAAATCATATTTTCTCAGAGTACCTTCGTTGGCTGCATAGGACATATAGACTGTTCCTCCGCCCTACTTGAACGGAAGCCGACATAGAGGATGACCGCGACTCCGATGAGGGGCGGAATCCCTATGATGTCCAGACTAGAGTTGGATATCAAATGGAGCACGCCCCACTTAGAGACAGAGGCGTAAGTTTTCTTGCATTTGTCAAAGTTATTTCCATTTGCACCCTAGACCCTAACATATATCTTCTCACGCTTTCAGTCGAGAGAGCTCCTCAGGAGTGTGAATGAAATGGGGCATGCCCTCCAAGCTCCGAGGGGTGGTGAGGACACGGAGAACACACTCCGCAATGTTTTAGAGGTAAAATTTATTTAGCACTTTGCATTACTTGAGTTATGCCTAACAAACTTCTTGTTTTTTTTTGAAATGCAGAAAGTTCGTCAAAGGTGCCAGAAACTTGCAGCAAGATTAGGTTGCAGGTCGGTTGGATTGGACGACGTGTACCAACCGCGGAGACTACCACCACCACTACCTCTATCCGCGCGTCCAAGTACCGCTCGACACTCCATCAGGATAGAAGAGCGTGAAGGAGTTGGTGGCTCGTCCTCGTCACGCATTAAGCAAGGGAGGAGAAAGGGGAAGGCGCCGGCTCCACCTAGCGACGACGATGACGATGAGGACGAGGAGGATGAGGACTACGTCGCACCAGACGCCGAGGAGATAGACATGTCGCATATAGACATGTCGCAGCTTCCCGACGCGCCTCAAGGGACGCAACCCACGCAATACAACTTGCGATCCACTCGGGCAGCGAAAAAGAGGTAAAATGAGCTTACCATTCTCAAATGTTATTTGATTTCCCTTATTTTGTTTTTAAAATGTTTTAAACATTGGATTTTCAAATGTAGGTACACTCCGGGCTCGCAAGCAATTCGGCGCCAACGGAAGAAGTGATTTGTATGAAGTTAATCTATTGGTTGGTAGTATGACATATGTGGTGCACTATGTGATATAAAATGTGATGGACTATGTGAGGACTATGTGATGGACTTTTGACATTGTTTCATGTGTGGAATATAGGATGGACTTTTGGCATTGTTTGATGTGTGGGATATGTGATGGACTTTTGGCATTGTTTGATGTGTGGAATATGTGATGGACTTTTGGCATTGTTTGATGTGTGGAATATGTGATGGACTATGTGATGGACTTTTGGCATTGTGATTTGTGCAATTGGAACTTGTTTTAGTCTGTACGAATCTGTGAATTATGATTTGAATTGCGAACTGTGAATTGGTACATTTGTGTAATATGGATCTTCAATTTGCAGGGAGGCAGAGGGCGGCGCCAACCACCCTGGCGTCGCGGTTGGGGAGGGCGGCGCCAGCCAGTGCCGCGAGGCAGAAGGGTTTCGAGCTGGGGGGAGGGCGGCGCCAGCTACCCTGGCGCCGTGGTCCATGAGGGCGGCGCCAGCCGAGGCCCGGAGGCAGAAGGGCTTCAATGGGGGGAGGAGGGGGGCGCCAGCCACCCTGGCGCCGCGGTCTGGGGGGGCGCCAGCCGTTGCCCGGAGGCAGAACAGGGCGAAAATTTTGAGGGGGGAGAAAGTTGGTGGGGCCCGCAGAGGAGGGGCGCGCCAGCCATGCTGGCGCCGTGGTATGAGGGGCGGCGCCACTCTGGCTAGCGCCCCTTTCGGCCTAGTCAGCACCTCCACGACAGCCCTATTGCCACGGTGGCACTGGCACGGCGCCAGTGTGGCTGGCGCCGCCATGTTGGGGTACGGCGCCAGCCACTCTGGCGTCCCAAAAAGGACCATTTCCGGTTTAAGTTTTTTTGGGGTCTATTTGTAAAATAAGTTTTCAAAAAGGATCAAAATGTAAAAATTTCAGGACTGTTGTGCGGAGCTTCCCTTGCGTCAGAGCTGTCCACCAGTGCAAGGCAAAGAGATGCGCAGAGGATGGCTAGTGCCAGAAGGCCGGAACGGGTAGCTCCCATGGTTCCCATCCACAAACCTTCCTAGTTTCCTGCTTAAAGCACAGTTTTCTCTCTGTTTTTTTTTTTCTACTGGCCTTGCTGGCTGACCAGATGGATCCCTCATGCTCCGCTTTTAACGGGGCTTTAGGTTGCGTTTTATTGAAGCCTACCTGTAACTGTGTGTGGTATATGCTGCTCTGTCAAGACTATTCAGCGGAAGGCTAGGACCGTTGTTTTGAACCAACGACGGATTATCACGCTTTCCAAGTTCATTGATGGTAAGATTTTGAGGGGAAAAAAACCATCTGGATTTATTAGAGAACTTCTCTAAAATAACCTTTTAAGTTTCTAACATTTAATTGATTCATTTCTGCCCTCAATAATTGTCATATCAACTCAATTTCAGCCATCGTCCACCGGCACTTTAGGAGAGGAATAGATAGTATGAAACAATGAATTGCATGATCACCTAGACTTCGATAAGTGACTTGTATAGCCGTCTTCATAACTGCCTTCTTAGGACACTGACAGAACAACTAGCCATTGAAAGTCAGTATCATAATGTGCCATTTACTCATTTGTAATAGTTAACAATGTTAAAATTTAGGTTAGCTCACCGTGGAAAAGTCTATAGGTGCTAAATTTTTCTTAGTGGATCTTACTAACTGTGATATGTCATTCTAAGTATATCTCGATTTTTTTATAACTTTTATATAGATATAAATCAAACGCTTGTTATCATTGTTAGTAAGAGTTTGTGAAAAAAAAAATTGTACGTGTGCCATTTCTCACTATGGATTGCATAGATAAATTTTGCCAAGGAAATCCATTCTTCTAATCTCTGCAAAGGCCCATCAGTAAAATGAAGGCTCATTCGTGTATTTGCTTGACAGGTAGGCTGATCCTTCCCAGGACTCGCTGCATGACGAGACAGTACTGAATACTCCATCCACGTCCACGCTACATCTGTTCCCATCGATCTTACGTTCGATGCCACCACAAATATCGCACGCTCAGTGGCCCGGTCTCTTCCTTGCCTCAATATTGGCTGGCCATGCACAACACAAAAGACAACTCGCCAGTCGCCAAGGTAATTTGGCTTGAAGCCAAGCACTACTACAAAAGAGGTCTTTGCATACGGGCGGGAGAGATTTTCGCATGCGGTTGGTGCAACCGCATGCGGGAAATCGTCTGTGAAAATCGCCAACTTTGCATGCGGCCAGGGCACCCTCATGCGAAAATCCGGGCGCTTAAGCCGACCGCATGCAAAGAGAAAAAATCGCCAGAAAAAAATAAAATTCCAAAAAAAAAACCCTAGCCCGCAGGCGGCGGTGCCGCTGCCCGAGCTCGCCGACCGCTCCCGTGCCACCTGCCCCCGCTCCCACCGCCGCCCGCCCCGGTTCCGCCGCCGCCCGCTCCCGCTCCCTCTCCCACCGCCGGCCACCCTCGCTCTCGCCGGATCCGAGTGGGACGAGGCCCGCCACCGCCGGATCTGGACGGGACGAGGCCCGCCGCCGTCGGATCCGGGAGGGACGAGGCCCACGTCGCCGCCCCATCGCCGCCCAGTTGTCGTGGTCGTCGGGATCGTCGTTGGGGTCGTCGTCGCACCGCTCTCGGCCACCTCCGCCCGCCGGATCCGGGAGCCCACTCGTCGTCGGGGTCGTCGTCGTTGTCGCGGGGTCAGCGTCATCGTTGCGCCGCTCTCCGCTACCTTTGCCCGCCAGATTCGGGCGTCCATTCGTCGTCGCCGCCCAGTCGTCGTCGTCGGGGTTGTCCGCATCGGGGTCGCCGCGGTCTAGGAGGGGAGGGGGGGCGCCAGCCGTTGCCCGGAGGCAGAACAGGGTGAAAATTTTGAGGGGAGGGAGAAAGTTGGTGGGGCCCGCAGAGGAGGGGCGCGCCAGCCATGCTGGCGCCGTGGTATGAGGGGCGGCGCCACTCTGGCTGGAGCCCCCTTCGGCCTAGTCAGCACCTCCACGACAGCCCTATTGCCACGGTGGCACGGGCACGGCGCCAGTGTGGCTGGCGCCGCCATGTTGGGGTACGGCGCCAACCACTCTGGCGTCCCAAAAAGGACCATTTCCGGTTTAAGTTTTTTCAGGGGTCTATTTGTAAACTAAGTTTTCAAAAAGGATCAAAATGTAAAAATTTCAGGACTACTAGCAGTAACAACCAGTAGCAACAGCAGAAGGAGATGCGGGGAGCAGAACCGCACTACTGTCATCGCACGTCCAGCGCTCGATCGATCGTCGCCTATTGATTCTCAGTGTGTTTGCTATACGCTCTTACTTCTGCTGGAGATGAGGCCAGGGGGGAGCAGAGCAGGCTGCAGCCAGGTACCAGCCGAGACGCACGGCGACAATAGGAAAACGGCAGTCGCTTAAAATGGGCAGAATGTCGATCTCACCCGGCGCGCGGACTCTCCGCCCGCCCGTAACGTACGACGGCGCAAAAATCTCTTGGTTTCTTGCTGAATGCAACTAGTGGCCTGGCTTGACTCGTTTGATTGTGCCGAGTCTAGAAGAAATTATAGACTGGTCCAGTTGGCATCTCTGGGAGCTGTAGATACGACATGATCCGCCGGGTCTTGCACGGGTTGGCGGCACTCGGCGCTAGCTGACAGTCATCACGCGGTAATCGATCGGCAGAACATGTACGTAATGAGTTGAGCACGCCGTTTGCAGATGATACCGGCAGGGTGCCACACAGTAATCTGTAATCTGTGAGACTGTCTGGACTCGCACTTGCCGTATATTTTTCAGATTTTTATTTTGGAAAAAACGTGCAAGAACAGATTATATTTTAAAATAGATGTAGTTATTCTTTTTTTTTATTTTCAAAAGAGATGAAATAGATATAAATCTTTAGTATCATTGTCTTTCTTGACCCTTGTCCAGGTATATTTCCCAGCTCCTTAATTTAGGTTTAGCCTCATATGAGAGGTTGATGTTCTTAAATGAATGCTTCACCATTCAAAGATGAATTAATATCCGCTAATCCCTCGCACCAACAAGATGATGACAATCAAGAAGCCACATAGGCAAGTTGAGAGAAGAAGACAAAAGATGAGGAACAAACACTACTACAGAAAGACACATAGAGGTCGGCACTATAGGTGCCGGAACAGTTAAAACCGACACCTATAGACTTTTGCTCACCTTGCGCGGTGGAAAAAACAAAGAACCAACACCTTTCACGAACCATAGTTGTCGATCCTAAAGAAAAACTGACACCCCTCCCCATCTCTCTCGCTCTCACTCTCTCTCTCTCTCTCTCTTCACTGCCCCCTCCTCCTCTCCCTCTCGCCTCCCTCCCATAGCGGATCCGGCGATGTCTCCGGCGGCCGCGGGTGGATCTGGTGGTGGTGGGGGCGTCAGGGGCGGCAACTCTCTCCGCCCCCTCTTGCCTCCCTCCCAGGGCAGATCGGGCGGCGGCGGTGGTAGTGGCTCCCTCTGACCCCTCTCGCCTCCCTCCCTCGTCTGAGGATCCGATGGTGGTGGCGACAGCCGAGGGTGGATCCAACGGCGACGGGAGTAAGGTTCTTGGAAGTTCTGTGATGTTTTTAGATGTTGTTGTTGTTGTGATTCTATTATTCCTTTTGTGATTCAATGATGATGATTGTGGTTAATTTTGGGGGGGTAAAGTGTGGTTGATTCGATTCCAAGAAGGAATTAGTATGTGATTAGTGACTTAGTGTTCTTTGTGTTCTTGAATGTTCTTTCATTGGTCGGGGTGAAGGGAGCTTCTTGGCTCGAATCGAGCTGATGCATCGAGCCAACTTTTTTTTTCGTGGAATCTCAAAGGTACCTGTTGGGAAAACCGGTACCTTTGTGAGGTTCCCAAGTTTCACCTGTTGTCTTTTTTGTAGTAGTGAAAGACCTCCTAGGCAACGTCTTCGGGGAGGTCATGACACCTTAGGCACCACCGTTGACTATCCATCTGGACTAGATTTTCACCTGGAGAGTCCTGCCAAGGAGTGGGAGGGTGGTAGCTCAACAACGCCCCAAGGGGCGATCATGGCGCTCAAAGATGTCATTGTTGCCAGCTCAGGGAAACCCTGAGCTAAGCTTTTTCCTGCAGCACCCTTCCCGCACCTATCTTCGCCACCTCGGTTCTCCACCAACCGAACAACCTTTGCTAGACTGCGGTTCTGCCACAATGGTGCCACACTGTCGTCCAGTCCAAACCCACCGGTCTCCAACATGGCCATCATCGTGACCTCCCATAGCCCACCATCCGCAACTCCCACATAGCTTTGTCATTGGAACGTCTTATTCCCCAACCCCCACCACTACCGTCTCACCGAAAGAGCTCCCCATGACCGTGAAGGAATCAACAATAGTAGTAGAGAGCTCCCTGTAGAAGAAGTGGGGTATGGCTAGCTAGCTAGTTTGGATGAACCGGCCCCACTAACACGCATGCTCGACACAACGTTGCTACCAGCCCATATTATCACCGCCACCGGTCTGACCACTCCTATGCCGTCGGTTAGACTGTCGGGGTCCAGAGAAAAACACACCGAAGATGCTTTTGAAGATAAATCAACTTTATTGCATCAATATGTGTTTACAAGGTGCATCTAAAGTACCCATCTCTCAATTCACGAACTAGAATTGAAACCTCGAAGCAAACCCTAATTTTTTTCTCCCAAAGAGTTAATATCTTCTAGCATCAACCCATCTTCTATTTATATCCACAATGTAGATGCCCCTGGCCAAGAATCCAACTATAACTAGGACTCCCAATCATATAGGAAACCTACCAAATCAGGAAAACAACATCCACACTCCAATCTTTCCAAATTTAACTCCTCTTTCCATAAGCGCACAATGCACACGTGTATGACATATATATGGAAACATTTACCTCCGTGTGCATTGCTCTCTAGCATGAGCATCCCATGTGATATCCTTGACCGTCTGGATCTCAACTTCTCCAAAATCTAGTCCCGATCTATCATCGGCTATACTCCCGTAGCCTCAAGCAACACCTATACATGAATAACAAAGAAATTCCATGTCCAAGTACAAGTTCATACCAAATTGACTCACATTAGCATAGAATAGTATCACATACGAATAGAAACCATCTAGAAGTCATAAACATGAAGAAATCTTTATAGAAATTCCATGAAAACAACCGAAAACCTACTCCCTCTTGGAATCTACTGGTCTGACCATCGGGCTACTCGGTCAGATCGCACCAACACCACCGGTCTGACTGGTGGCAGCCACCCGGTCTGACCGGCCTCACAATGCTAGCCACCACGTTGTTCACTGTTTAGAAACACATAACCGTATTTTTAACAAACACTTATCTTTGACAATTATTCATAACATTGTTTTCACGCATTGAGCTGCTAATTATTGTCTACAAGAATGCATAGTGGCTGAGTAAGAGTTCACCATTACTTAATTATGCTCTGAACAACATGACACTGATGGCTGAAGAAGATCGTTGGGAGATGATACGGCTGATCGGTGTTGCGGGGATCAATTGGAGCAGCACGCAGACCCCTGTCAAGCCATATTATCCAAGTTTCTGTTGTATTGGTAGTATAATTTGTACTCGTGAATTCAGAAGTTTTGGGTTCTTTCTAGTTCAGATTTGCAAAATTATGTCGTCATTTTGCCCTCTGAATTTTATGTCCTCATTGATAAAACACAAGTGGTAGGAAAACATAACAGTGTTCTGGGCTTTTGTTAAACATGACAAAACAGCTTAATGGATTTTCAACCCATTAACATGACAAAACAACAGATGAAGTGCGTGTAGCGAACAGGAGGCTGCTCGGAATGAGCACAAGGTAGCAGGGTTAAACCTATTGGTTTAGCCGATTTGATTGGACATCACCGAAATACCAAAATTTCAGCTTGAAATTTTTGAAATTTTGAATAAAATTTTGTTAAATTTTAACAAATATTAAAAATTTTGGCCGAAATAATATCATATCAGAGTGGTCCGAAATGACCGAAATTTCGGAAATTTCAGTCCGAAATTTCCAACCCATGGTAGCATCGTCCGGTGAGAAATTCGGCTGAAATCAAAATAAATTTCAGCCTGCAGTCACATATATATAGTTAATCTACAGTTCTACACACCGTGAATAGTAAATTCATCTTATTACAGAAACTAGTCAACAAACTGAGCTACGTATCGGTATATATGACGGCACAATTTTCGACGGTGAATTCAGATAGTTTTCATATAACGAATGAACCAGACATGCGACATACGCGCCTGCTGCTCTCGTGTGCCCTTCTGTGCTAATTAAGACACGAGCATTCGTCACCGCCGCCTGCGGCCATTGCCCTCCGAGACCTGTCATGGCTAGCCTACGCTGAAACCACTAACCGCACTAACCCGTCTGCCATATGTCCTGTACGGTGATGCGGTAGACGGACCACCCGTACCAGTTGGTCGACCTGCACACACAAAAAAAAAAAAAGTAAGCAAGCCATATATAAACTAGGAGAAACCAAATTAAATAAAGTATACATGGCTAACAGGTAAAGAAAATGGTACACTACCTCTGTTCTAAACTAAAATATAAGAAGTTTTTATGCTTGAATAAGGTATTAGGTATTAAGAAATATAAGAAGTTTTAGGCTTCAATATGGGTTTTGTTGGAACCATGCCACCCTATATTTGCAAAATTTGAGATATGCCACCCATATCTCAATGATATGTAAGACCCATATGAGTCAATGACATATGGGTCAGGGTGGCATGCAAAATTTGTGTAGCATGGTTCAAATTCTCCCTAAAAAGAGTATATATGTGAAATTAAATTAAGAGTTAATTTTACTTTGGGCTACCTTTTATTACTGATGTTTCGCTTTGGACCACCTTAGGACTAATGTTTTCACTTTAGACCGGGTATTTTTATCTTTATTTCACTTTGGACCACCCTTACTTTTTTATCAATCTACATCCAACTTGTAATATGTCGAAGAAATAGTCTTACATATAGCTGTGGTAGTTCATTAACGAGTAGAGAGACGATGTAATCGAGATGGTTCATATGCTTGAGAAGAGAGTCGGGTGGTCCAAAGTGAAACAAAGGCAGGTTTATCTAGTCCAAAGTGAAAATATTACTTAAATGGTGGTCCAAAGTGAAATATCGGTAACAAAAGGTGGCCCAAAGTGAAATTTGCTCTTAAATTAATGACGAAGGGTTGTTAGTGATTAAGGAAACGATATAGGTAAAGAAAATAATTGAGGGAGTGTTTTGATCGGTTGAGAAAACAACATAGATCGAAAAGTTGTCATATTTTAATATAAGTTTTGAATGCTAAATGTTTTTATATTTTAAGATGTAGCAAGTACTGTACGTACCATTGCCACTGCTTCCCGTGCCGCCGGTTTTGCCGGTGCTCCCAGCCGCCGGCACGACGAGGATGCCACTGCCGATCACAAGAACCAGCAGCACGAGCTGGATTATCGCGCGTAATCGAGCCACCGGCCGTCGGCCGGTGATCGCCGGCATCCTGTACGACGTGTGCCGAGCTGGTGATGGTATAACTATCTGCTGCTATATATATTACTGATGGTTTACAAACTAACAAGCCAGATGTTCAGGCGAGCAGCATATATATATATAGAACTCACGGAGGCGAGTAGGAGTACCACAATCGTGTCTCTTCGTCGTCTTATCGGGGACGAGGAAGGGTGTCCTCGTGGCTCCACGACCCTGCATTTATTTCGAGAAATATAGCCGGTTTTTACTTTTAGAAAATTGAATTGCCTTTAATATAATGTCACATTTTATTATCAGAGTTTCGCTTCAAACAAACATTTTAAGCTAATCTTTTCAGTTTGAATTATGTTTTTTCTTTGTTTTACTCTAGACTACCATCCGAAAAACTTTCCTTAAGCACATTGTTGGGGAATGGCTCCGGATTGAGGGGTCAGCCTCCGAAGGGCTACAGCACTCCGGAGAATCATCCTCCCCGGGGAGATGACCGTGGGTCGATGCCACTTTAGCCCCCGGCTCCGGAGGCTACGGAGGGGTCCCGGAGAGGAGAAACAGCTCCCGCGGAGGCCAAGAGCTCCGGAGCCTGGCAAGGCTCGGAGACCGCCAGGAGGGTTCCAGGGGTGATCCGGGAGGCCGTAGTATCCAAGGGTTACGGGGCTTCGAAAGGCATCTCGAGCTTTGGAACCCGGAGGGCTTCTGGAGCCCGGCAAAGGTACTCCGGAGGTGGCTAGAGACTTCGGAGTCCGGAGGCTTCTGGAGCTTGCCGCGCTGCCGGGGGCGAATAAAGTCTCAATATGCCCCCAGCGGCTCAAGTCAGGAATCAGACGCTAGTGGGTTGGAATAAATGCGCACCATGCGTCCCAACTACCTCTGACACTGTTGATGATGACCAGACGAAGAGTCTGCTATTACCCAGAGCATGTCTTTACCCGGGTAATAGCGGGCTCCCTCGGAAATCAGCACTGCTTCCTTAATGGGTGTCTCCTTCCTACCACCTGTGAAGTTGCCAAAAGGCCAAGGGCTGGCCCACTGGCCAGCCACTCAAGATCCTTTGTAGGGCTAGGGGCACCGAAGGAATTTTCTCTTATATACTCGCGTATAAATATGTAAAAACCGCTCTTGTTTGGGCACATTGGATACAGGAGCACTAGACATACACTTGTTGAGTTCTTGCAACAACACACATCAAAGATCTTGAACACGTTGGCACCTATACACCGTAATCTTACTCCTTAGGCTATTCTTTGCTAGATGAGAGCATAGATATAGAGAAGTGATTTAATATGGTGCAAAGTGCAAAGATAACCTTACTTACTCTAAAATAAAAATATTAACTAAAGGATAATCCACAGTGAAATTTTAGTAATAAAAGATGGAATAAAGTATAATTCAGTCTAGAAAAACTATCTTTATAAATGCTTACTGATTGTTGAGCTTGTTAGACATGTAATGTATTCAGCCATTGGCTGATCGGTGGATAGATTTATGCATGCCTCGTGAAACCATGGCGTGCAGTGGACGACTAAGATTTGGTGGACTACATTCGTCAGCAGAGCATACTTGTTACTGCCGAGTCTTGCACGGCGTCGCCGCCGGCCGGCCGCTCCCGTCCAAACATGCACGGGACGAGTCTACCACGGTGGAACGCTATTGTCATGCAGTTACTACGAGTTTTAGATAGACGGCCCACATATCACTGAAAATTAAATGCTTATGTTTAAGGGCCAACAAAGATTACAAAGATAATCTCAATCGGACCTAAACATAAGCCCGCCACCAATAGTTATTATCGGTGACGGGCTCTAGATAATTACTCCTACATATGGATTATGTCTGTATGACTATATCTTCAAACTAGACATAGGCTAGGGTTTGTACATATTTAGGGGGGGGGGGGAGATTATGATTTATGCCACTAAAGTATAATAGGCAATGGTTGAAAAACCCACATAAAGATCGGATTTTCCAACCAGTAACAGTTAGTCAACAGTGATGAGGTTTTAGAATAGACACCGATGAGATCCTTATAGATGCCAACCAGCAACTTGTGACTTGTATTTTGTATATAGTGAAGCTTGTTGCTATTGGAACCGGAAGAAGACTGGGATGGACCTAGGCCTTGGGCCACCTGGGCCGTGATCCAAGGTCTAGGTGTGAAGGTCCATTAAGATGATAATTTTTTCACCATGTAAACAACAAATAAGGCCTAAATCTCCATATGGGCTGGCTCGGGCCTTGAACCAATCTTGGGTCCGCCACGGATAGAAGAAAAATAAATTATAATATTGTCTGAAATTAATAAAAATATATTTTCATGAAATGTTGTACACATTTATCCTTGTTTTGCTATAGGAAACATTCATCTTGATATTAAGAGGTTCAAAGAGTAATTTGCAAAATTTACAATGTGGGTAGGTGGGGTGGCAGATTGACTGCTACAACACCTACCTTCTTTTAAAATAATATAGATAGTATAGATATAGATATTGTTTGAAACAAATAAAAAATATGTTTTCTATGAGATGTATTATCCATCCTCGTTTTACTATAGGGAACATTCACCTTAATATTTGGAAGTCAAAGGATAATTTTGAAAATTTCCAATGAGGCTATGTGGGGTGATAGATTCATTGTCACCGTCACTGTTTTTCTTAAGTAGTATAGATACCAAGGTGTAAACGCGCTGGAGATTATGCGAAACGCGCGACTTGAACGTTTCCGGCTAGTGAGATCTAACGAATTAATTATTGGATATTTAATTCAATTTAACATTTCAAAATTGGACTGTGTCTATTTGTTGGTCTTTATGACAGTAGTTACAACAAGTAGCGACAGCAGAAGGAGACGCGGGGAGCAGAACCGCACTACTGTCATCGCACGCACGGCCAGCGCTCGATCAGTCGATCGATCATCGCCTATTGATTATCAGTGTGTTTGCAGTTTGCTATACTCTCTTACTACTACTGCTGGAGATCAGACCAGGAGAACACCTGCTGGCTGCTGTTCTGCTGTAATCGGCAGAACATGTACGTGAAGAGTTGAGCACGCCATAATTTTTTTTTTTAAACTAAACCGGCAAGAGAACTGCCAATTATATTTCAATTAAGCAGGAGTAAAAACCCAGACAGGGTTACAGAAAAAGAAAAATACAACCACTTGGCGAGTAGAAACTCGCCAAGTCCCTCAACCGTGGCCGGTACAAACCACACAGCACACGGAGCACTACACAACTTCTAGCCAAACTACCACGGCGGAATCCAAAGACGAACATCGACATCGAGATGCTGAAGAAGTGGCACACGACTTTGACATCACAAAGCGCATGTCATCGTTGCCGAGCTTGCCGTCCAACGACCAAGCAGCTTCGACTTCACGGTGATCGTAATATCATTGGAGGCACCACCAAACGAGCAAAACAACACCGAGCTCACACTTTGGACATCAGCCAAAGCCCCTGAGACGCCAAAACTTGTACTGGCAACACCAACATTCCTAGAGAGAAACTGCAAATGTTATCGTTGCCAAGCATCGTCGCACCCCAACGACGTAGCAGCTCCGACTCCACCTGACAGAGACAAACAAAGAAGCTGGATGCCACCAATACAAGAAAGGAGCCAAGGAGAAGGCCTCGCCAAACCAAGGTATCTAGTGCTTCGAGCTGACGCAGGAGTACACCAACAACAATCGATGCAAGGGTAGTGTTCTCCAAGACGATGCCCCCATGAAGGATACGACGTGAAACGCCGCCACCGCCTGTTCGGAAACCGGAACACAGTTTTCACCTGGAGATTGATGGCGACGGAGAAAGACGCCATAACGACGCCTCTAACAAGGGAACGACGCCAAAGACATCGTCGTCGTCACGCCAGCCAAGGGCTAAGCAAGGCTTTTGCCAGCGATTTCATCCATTGCCACCACCGCCCCACACAACAGTCGTTGCCGAACCACCCTGTCATCTCCTCGGCAACCAGCTAGCCCAGTCCACCATTCCACGGCTCCTTCCCGCACACAACAGGCCGGAGAGAGGCAAGGACACACCGCCAAGCGGGCGTTCCCTGCGCTGCCTCTGCCGGAGCGGCGAGCAGGACGTCACCGGCGTCGTCACAACCCCGCGAGGCATCGGCATCGGCGTCATTCTCGTTCTTGCACTGGAGCCGGCGCTGTCACCGCCGCCGCCGCCGCCGCGTGGCCCTCGCGCTGACGCCGCCTCCGCTGCCGCGTGGCCCTCGTGCCGCCGCCTCTGCCGCCGCGTGGCCCTCGCAACGCCGCCTCCTCCGCCGCCGCGCGGCCCTCGCGCCACCGCCCCGTCCACCGCCGCGCAGCCCTCGCGCCACTGCAGCCGCAGCCCTGCGCCGTGCGGCCAGATCCGGCCACCGCGGTGCCGGATCCCCGGCCTCCCTCGCCCACCGGCGCGCCACACTCCGCCCGGCTCTGCCCCACCTTCCTCGCCGCGCTCTGCCCCGCCTCCCTCGCGCCGGAGACGGCGCGTCGCCGCGGTATGGCCCCGCCACCGCCATCTCGGCTCCCCGCCCGGTTGTCACGCCCGGAAATTCACTAGTAATTTCCGAACTTATTTGTGCATAAAATCCTCGTCCAGGAATCAGCCGAGGTACACAAACTGACAATTTAATATACAGATTCATCAAATTAACTAAAACGATATATACTTACTTAAGAGGCACTTAGTCCTCACCATGAAGAAAACTGCAGCGGAAAATAAAATCTAGCGAAGCTCCGGCTCCACTCCCACAGGCAGCTCAACTGGGGTATAAGCCAAACGTCTTCGCCTTCTGGATCCTTTTTCTTCAACTGAGGTTGATTGATTATTGCAAGGTGAGCATATGACATACTCAGCAAGCCACACAGCAAATATGCAAGTGCACAAGGATACCAAAGGATGGCATAATATAGGCTCATTTGCGAAAGCAGCATTTAGCAAGGAGTTAAGAGTACTAAAACAGTAGAGTAATTAATCAGAAATTTTAATCAACACTGAACAGCACACCCATGCTGTACAGGCCCAACCATCCTGAACAACCATACCCGGCTGTACAGATCTAATCTCCAAACCAGGAGCTAAGCAAATTATTACCAGGTATAACATCTATAATTATTGTGAGAGGTGTGAGACTAATCACAAAAAACATTGCTCAACCCGCCCATAACCGCAGGC